GCTCGGTAAAATGGGCACCGCCCAACTTACAATAACATATATAAAAATAAACACATACACATGCAATAATCACAGAGATACATATCATATAGATATCCATCAATCCCCGCCCGGCATTGGGCCTTAGCCCGGAAGACATATAAACACAAGCACATGCAAGGTCACAAAGACAACTAGCATACTAAAAACATAATATAAACATGGGCCGAAATTGGTGCCTTCGACCCGCTAAACCCGGTAAGGAAACTCACCTGGAATACAGAAAGACAGCTGAACGGATCCCGGATCCGAATACCGACTCTACTCAACCCCTAAACATAAACGATTTCCTTAAGTTCAACAAAAAATGCCTAAAAGCCCCTTATAGGTCAAACTTGGTCAAAGACTAAAGTCAAAGTCAAAGTCAAAGTCAACAATCCGAGTTGACCTAACTCGTCAAGTTCATCCATAAACTTGCCGAGTTTATCCATTAGTCTGCAAAGTCGGGAAGAAATCGATCCAACTTGTCGAGTTCCTCCATAAACTCGTCGAGTTCGTTAGAAATCTAACATATTAATCCATTAAGCCGTCCTTAACGAAACTAAGAGCTTCATGACTCAGATCTTAACTGAAATGGCCTCAAGAAGGGTAAAGTTTCCAACTTTACCCCTAAGAACCACCAAAATGGGTTCAAAACCCAAACCCTAGGCTTAAAAGGGAAAGGACTTAATCATTAAGCACTAAACCACCAAAGGAATAACCCCAAACTGTAGATCTGGCCCTAAAAGCTGAAAGACCATGTAAAGTTTTCAACTTTACCTTCAAGTATGCTTAGAAGGAGCTCAAATGCTCAAAAGAAGCCATAATATGGACTTAATGAATGTATGGAGCCCTTAAGACCATAAAGTTGGCACCTTTATGCCAAAAGAGCTCATGAGGATCATAGATCTGAAAGAATAGCACTTGGCACGTCCGACAACCCCATCAACCACCCAAACATGACTAAAAGCATCTAAACTAACCCAAAAAGAGATCTAATCAAATATTAAGCAAGGTTAGAAATTTAAACCCAAAATATGCTGGAAATGATGCAAAGAATCAAGATCTGAAGGCTCCTACTTGAATCACCACCTTGCACCAAGCTTCTCTTCCTTCAATGAACTTAAAACACACCAAAAGACACCCACAATAAGCTCACAACACTCAAGGAGGCTCTAGGGCTTCGAGATTAGGGTTAGGGGCTATGGAGGCTGGAAATGAGGCCAAGGCTTGGGACTTAAGGTGTTTAAATAGGGTGCAAAACCCTAAAATTAGGGTTTCCTCACCTGCTGCCAACTCGCCGAAAACAACTTCAACATGTCGAGTTGAGGCTTTCAACTCGACGAGTCCTCCAGGAAAAATGCAATATTTGGAAATAAAATCATACCAGAGACCAGGCGTTACAAATTCCTTTTCTTTTTCTTTTTCTTTTTTCTGTTAGTTATTTAGAAGTATCTAACTTTCTTTTTGCTTACTCAACTATCAAGGCCATGTATCTGATGCTTTGGTACTTGGTGGACTTGATGTCACAGGCCCACATTTCCACTCCATGTTTGTCAAATGAAGACCATACTTTCCTTTAATGCTTGCTTGAATTTGGTACATATTAGTATGTATAAAAGGAGTGCATTGCTAGTAAGAAAAGGTTGTTCTTTTGTTGCTCTCTCTCTCTCTCTCTCTCTCTCTCTCTCTCTCTCTCTCCCTTTTGTTGGCTGTCAATTTTGAGTTTTGAACCTCTCTCCCTCTTCTTTCTTTCTTGCAATTTGGTGCTGTTGGGGGTCAGAAATGGCATCGACCAAGTCCTCACATGATGGCCTGGAGTGCCGCAATCGAATGCCTGGTCCTGGAGGGCTGAATACGCTATATGGGTAAGGTTGCGCCCTTTCTAACACCAATTGGTTTTAGATCAACCGGTAGCGCTGATGCTCAACAATTGGTATCAAAGCCAGTTGCGAGGGTTCGATTCTCTCAGAGAGCAATTTCTAAAGGGGGGATTGTTGGGGGTCATAAATGGCATCGACCAAGTCCTCGCATGATGGCCTGGAGTGCCGCAATCGAATGCCCGGTCCTGGAGGGTTGAATGCGCTATATGGGTAAGGTTGCGCCCTTTCTAACACCAATTGGTTTTAGATCAACCGGTAGCGCTGATGCTCAACAGGTGCTTGAATTAAGACTTCATAAGTTGGTTCTCCTGAAGGCTTATTTGGTATAAGTCTTAATGACTTAAGAACAACTTAATACAAGTGAAGACTATCATGTTGAAGGGGTTTACTATTGCTTAGTTGATACTTGTAGAGTGCTTCTCCTTTGGAGCTTCATGCATCACTTTATCAACTTTCATCTCCCATGAGAATCAAAGTCTTCAAAAGTTATAACACTTTTACTTATGTGATTGATTTAATATTTCCATGACTGCACAATGATCTTTGGTGGGTTAAAAAAAGTTTTAAGTTTATTCTAATTTTAAAGCTTTCGTTTCCGTGTTTGGTGTTTTTGGAAAAACAATTTTGAATACAACCCAACAATTGATATCAGATCCATTTTTGCAAGCTTTGTTAGATTATTAGATTATTTGATATAATCTTTGTTTGGAAAACATGGATGATTTTCTTTTTGAATGAAAATCCATACATATTTTCTATGACAATTCTATAATTGTTATTTTTTAGTGACAAAAGTTTACATGTATTTTTTTTTCACCAAATTTGTCTTAGAAAAACAATGTGTTGTTTTATATAATTTTGAGTATATATATATATATATATATATATATATATATATATTATATATATATATATATATATATATATATATATGTATGATGTGCATAAACTAGCAATGGACCTCTTGTGATGTGTTTGTGTTGATTTGTTAAAATGGTTGTAATATTTATTTATTCATATGATATCTAATAATTAAATACATAGTTTTCATTTTGTTTATTTTTGTAAGTAATAGATTAGTTTTAGAAATAGTTTATTTTTATAAAAATGTAGCAAGAATGAAGATGGTGACCATTTTGAAGATTAAAAGTTTATAATCTTGATTTTATTAAAGTTTTATAAACTTTATAAACTTATTTTATAAAATTGCTACACTATGTTGAAGCAAATGGAAGCATAAGGACATTACAAGAAGTTTTGGTCCCTTTATGTCCCTTAGGATTGAACTTGACATTTTTAGTTTATGGTTGGTTTATGCACATATGTTTTGCATGCTTGTGTTGTTTATATTTATGTTGATATTATGTTATAATTTTTAAATCATATTTCACATGCAAAATAATATTTTGAACATAAATAACACCATAATGAGTTTGTTTTTACTGAAATTTATCTTTTAACACAAGATGGTAAAAATGTTTTAAAATAAAATGAATTATCGTTTGAAAACTAGCTAATGGTAAATTTCGTGATTAAAATTATATAAATTTAAAATTGAGATTTTAGTGACTTATCAAACTCCAAACCTTATTTTATAAAAAGAAGTTTTATTAAAAGATTAATAAATGTTCTTTAGCGCTCAAACGCCCAAACTTAATACTATGTATTAATTTTATAATTTGATCGTGTCAATTATATAAAATTGGATTTTATAAAAGAACATTGCTAAAATACGATTTTAAATAAAAATATACCATGACTTATTGGATGCTTGCAATAACATGATATGATATGTTTTTTAAACTATAATTATAAAAACATCAAAATCCCTTTATTTAAACTCTTTATTTAAACTCAAATCTATGCGATCACATTTTCAAAGGTTGTAACACTTTTCCTATGATTTGATTTTATCATGTTTTCTGCTGCAGTTCACATGAGATTGAAAATGATTTTGACTTTTTTCCTTGCTGATCAAAGGTGGGTGGTCATCATTGGTTGATTATTGGACTTATTTTGTAACTTATTCTGATGGTTCGTATATAATCACTAGTAATACAACGAGGTAACTTGTCATTATTTACCATTATTATCCCTAATAATTTGATAGATAACTAAACCAAACAAAAAGACGAATTCCAGTACCTTATTTCTTTTGATAGGTGTTTGTTTTGATGTCTTTTGCTAGGTGTTTCTTTTGTTGTTTGTATTAGACATAATTAACGAAATATAAACGTATTATCAGAGAATAACATCTTCTGCATAAAATTATACGGGTAACAAACAATACAATACAAAAAAAAAATCTCATCCCGTGGCAAAGCATGGACATATATATCATAGTTTACTCTAAAAACAGTAAAAATATACTATTTAAAATAAGAGTTAATATTATAAAAGATCTTATATATTATGTTTTCTTTCGGATTAATTTTTTTTTCTAAATAAGGCATTGTATTTTTTTTAATGATTTGGCTTTTAGTAGTTTATTTTCCGAAAAAACTTGTTAAACGTGAGATTTTTTTTTTGAAAAATAAAACAAAATAAAAGTTTATTTTCCGAAAAAACTTGTTAAACGTGAGATTTTTTTTTTGAAAAATAAAACAAAATAAAAGTTAAAGGTTTTTTCGGGAAAAAAAAGTTGAAAGTTTTTCAAAAAAAGGTAAAAAGCTTTTTTTCAAAAAAATAAAAATAAAATTGAAATTTAATCCAAAAAAATTCAATATATAAGGTATTTTATGATATTAATTTTTAAAAGAAATAACAGTTTTTTATATTTTATTTTATAAATAAAAATAGTGAAATGTGTGTGTTTCATTAACGGCGTTTTAAAAATCGTACCCACACCACTGACCACACCGCTCGCTTTATGAAGAGTACCACTTGCTTCATTATTTTCGATTTCTGATAAATAATATACGCATTGAATCTAGACTCACTTATTGTAGGGATAATATATTAAAACCACAAAAGTTGGTGAAAAGTTCCAAAAAGATCAGATTTAATATAAAAACATCAAAGGAGATGAGTTAGATTAATATGGATGATATTTTAGATCTAACTCGACCAAAATATCTTGATCTGTTTTTATTAACAAATATGGATCATAGTAACATGATAAATAATAACAGATTGTAAATAATCTTATGTTTTAGTTTGCAATTAATTTGATGTGTGACAGATCTGATCTAATGAATATTATATTTTTATAATATGATTGGATAACTTGATAGATGTCCATGCTATAACTTTGGAACGAAGGGTGCAGCTGGAATGGAGGAATCGCCATTTTTCTACTCCTAACATTAGTGGAGCTGCTGCTTCTTCTTCTTCTGATATGGCGTTTTCCTCCAATTCTTGGTCTATTACTAGCTTCTTAGTGATTTTGCAGCTGTTATCGAGTAGTAGCTTGTATGCTGATGGATGCTATACCTCCATCTTCAGCTTCGGCGACTCCCTAGCGGACACTGGCAACCTAAAACAATTGGCCTCCATATCCGATCAGGTCTTTTCGCTTCTTCTGCCGCCTTACGGAGAAAACTTCTTTGATCAATCCACCGGTCGTTGCTCCAATGGCCGCCTCATCATCGATTTCCTAGGTAACTCCTCTGTCCTCTCCCTACCTCTCTTCTCTACGTGAAAATTCTCAGTGCGAATGGTTATGGTTGATCCATAGAACAACCGGCGGCAGTCAACCGGTGGATCTGAATCAATTGGACTAACATCGAAATGCATTGCCCCAAAATATTATCAGTTTGACTTTAGTGATTTAAAATTTCAGTTTAAATGCGAAATCAGATCCAGGTTGTTTCGAAAAATCCACATGTGTAATGCTAACTTCGCACTAAAATTATCCTCAATCTCGGAGACTCATTATCTTTGTTCACAAGTTTCCGAAATTTTCTAAATCTCCATTATCGATACCTCTTTTTTTTCGTCCAGAAAATTCTCCATGTTCCTCGTGATTCGTGATTGACTTTTAGGTTTTTTCTTGGTTTTTGAAGCTGAAAGCCTTGGGTTGCCATTGCTACCACCGTTTCTGCACGACAAGGACAATGTGGTGACATTGGGACACGGAGTGAATTATGCTGTGGCGGGTGCGACAGCATTGAATTCATCAATTCTTGAAGCAAGAGGGATTGTTAATTCAATGACAAATGCATCTTTAGGAGTCCAATTAGAATGGTTTAAACAAACATTGCCTTCTCTTTGCAAAAGCGTTTCAGGTAACCAAGCTTTTGAATATGCTTCTACACCATTTATATATATATAATAAAGATTGATTGATTGATAAGCAAGTATTGGCAGAATGTAGAACCTTAATCGGAAGTTCTTTGATCATAATGGGAGAGATTGGAGGAAACGATTACAACTATCCAATATTAGCAGGAAAACCCATCAATGAGGTGGAACCATTAGTTCCTCTTGTTATTGATACCATCGTCTCAGCAATCAATGTAAGAACTAAGAACTAAAAAGTACTCAAATCATACAAAACACAAAACTTCCACTCAATTTTCATTTTGAATGTATGATTTTGTCAGGAGTTAATCGATATGGGGGCTCAAACACTGGTTGTTCCAGGAAACTTTCCAATCGGATGCTCTTCAGCGTATTTAACACTCTGTGGTTCTGAAAACAAGATAGATTATGATAACACAACCGGTTGCCTCATCAATTTAAACAAATTTGCAGAATATCACAACGAACTGCTGCAAACGAAATTAAACCACCTTCGAGAGCTTCATCCTAATGTCGTAATCATGTATGCTGATTACTACAATGCTGCCATGCAAATTTTCCTTTCTCCAGACAAATATGGTAAAGCAAAAGCCAAAAGGGTCTTTCATCTTTCTTGTTCATATTCATTTAGGAATATGTTGAGGTGTTTTTGAAATTTTGCAGGATTCACAAACGGGGCTCTAAAGGCATGTTGTGGAGGTGGAGGGCCTTATAATGTGAACGCAAAGGTGGAATGTGGAATTTCTGCGAGTGTGTGTGATGATCCGGATACGTATGTTAATTGGGATGGAATCCACTTAACGGAATCGGCATACAGAGTAATTTCAAGGAGTTTATTTCAAGGGGCGTATACTACACCTCAATTTAATTTGTTATGTCCTGCTCCTACATCAACATCGACATTACAAGTTGGAAACGGATTATGGAATTCTGTCTAAATCCTTTTTATATACACATAAAATAAATGTTGTAAGCTTGTAATTTTAATGATTACAGGAATTACATATCTTGTACTTTAATCTGGAAGTCGGTTCTAAATTCAAATGCCACTTGGAGTACAACTCGTTAATATGTATATCTGAAAATTTAAAAAGTTCTAATAAATCCGATAATCAAACTTGAAATCCGACCATTGTTGTATTTTGAAGTTTCCATAAGCTCATTTAAACTCCAAGTTAAACTCAGAATGAAAGTAAGTAAGCTAGTGTTATACAATTTAGGGAAATTGATTTATTAGGGTAATTATTTTTTCGGTTTGTTCACGTCTAGGTAACTAATTTTTTTGTACTAGGTAACGAAATTGTTGGAAGTGTTCACATATGACACTTATGACCGGCAGTAACAAGTTACATCCGGTCATAATGATCATATATAAACACTTTCAACAAGTTTTTTACCTATATATATACAAAGAAGTTACTCAAATAAAAACAAAAGGAAAATGTAATTACCCTGATAAGTTAATTTCCATTTTTATTTAGGTAGTCGATCATAATGTTTGCAATATTAATAAATTAACTTAAATTTCCTTAAAACACTATTTATAACAATTTATGAGATTTAAATTGGTCACAAGCTGTTTTTGGTAGCATAATTATCATATATATATATATATATATATATATATATATATATATATATATATATATATATATATATATATATATATATATATATATATATATAGATGGGACAGTTCAAATAAAAACAGTAAATAGTGTGAGAACGTAAAAACACTTTTTTATGTTATTATTCTGCAATGAATTTTGTATCGACAACTTTATGTCATTATTCAGCAAAGAATAAATGAATAGTCAAAGATTAAAATTAAAATTAGAATTTACTACAAAAATGCACATACATAAGTTTATAATAGAATAATAACATTGTAATGAATATATGACTAATCGAAAGTTAATATTTATATTAGAATTACTTCATATATTCAAAATTCATTACAAAATAATAACATAAACATAGTGTTTTTACGTTCTCACATTATTTACTGTTTTTATTTGAACTTATATATATATATATATATATATATATATATATATATATAGGGAAAAGTTCAATAGAGAACCATAATTATTGGTTCTTCAAGGAACCAAATCTTTTTTTCAATTTCTGGAGCTTATTCTTTATCGAAAAAAAAATCTAAAAATATCTAAATTCATATATTAACATTGTGAATGTGAAATATTTTTCGGATTCACCGTGTGAATCCGGATTCACGTTGTGAATTTTCAAAGATTCACATTGTGAATTTGACGTAAAAAAATCGAATTTGATATCATTGGAAAAAGGATAAAAAGTTATGAATTTCTGTATTTTTAGTTTTTTTTTGATAAAAAATAAGTTGTAAAAGTTGAAAAAAAGATTGGTTCCTTGGTTAATTATGGTTCTCTATTGAACCTCACCCTATATATATATATATATATATATATATATATATATATATATATATAGGTACAAATGTTTCTCATATCTATTGTGTGCTACAATGCACCAATAAAAATTTAGTAAATGATATCCATAATTATATGTATATTAAATGATATCCATAATTATAATTCATTTTTTATGGAAACTAATTAAATTCGTCATTAATGTCAGCAATAATATTCTTTTAGAATGAATTTGTATCTAGAACAATGATATCGTATTCTAGCAGAATGAGAGTGTATTCTAGAGGAATACACTCTCTTCATATTCTATGCAACTTTATTGTATTTTAAGTGAGTGTGTCCTGAAACAAAACACGAATCCATGCATAAAAACCTAGATGCGAATTAATTCTAAAAGAATGTTATTGATGATATTAATGACGAATTTAATTAGTTTCCATAAAAGGATAATTATAATTATGGATATCATTTAATATACATACAATTATGGAAATCATTTAATATCTATTTTTATTTAATTAAATAATTATTTAATTTTACTAAATTAGTATTGGTGCATTCTAGCACACAATAAATGTAAGAAACACATTAACCTAACCCTATATATATATATATATATATATATCTATATATATATATATATCTATATATATATATATATATATATAGACTTAGGTTATTCTATTCTAACTAATTATTGTGTGCATGTAGGAATGATTGTGAGCCAATCATTTTACTTATTTTAAGAAAATGATTAATATATATTATTAAATTAATGATAATTAAAAAATACCATGTATTTTCACTATAATGGTATTTTAGACAATTGAGATCAATTTAAAAAAGGAAAATTCCATATTTTTAGGGATAATTAATTCTCTTAATTTTAAAATTCTGATTTTTTTAATTAGTTCAATTTTAACTATAACAAAATTTTTAATTTTTAATTAAACCCGATTTTATTCTGTCGGAATGACATTCTGATAGATTCATATTCTCTAGGAATGTTAGGATACATATTTATGTTATAATGAAATTCTATGAGAATGTCAACACTGACTAATAACAAATTTTTGGATACAACTTAAAATTTTCATTACCTTCTTAAAAAATAAAAACTTTATATAATATTCTATGACAATGAAATACTCACTAATAACAAACAAAAACATGTATATTATTTCACCTGAATATTCTAGCGGAATATATTATTACATATAGTCCTATCATTCTATTGTAGATTATTCTTTCAGAATATAACGACTAATAGTTCTTCCATTATGACGGAATTGGAATTCGAGATTCCATTCCGACAGAATTGCTGTTAGAAATGCAGAAATGCACCCTTGCAGAATATGTAATTTTCGGTCTCAGCTTCCCACACTAACCCACACACTAAATTGCTTTATCACAGCCTGAAACAAAAAAATATCTAGAATATTAACAAACTGATAGATAGCCATCTACATTCTAGATGTAGATAAATGACATCAAGAGTTAAAGCAAAGCCCTGTGTACGGAAACAAAGAAGGTACTACATCCACAAGTAAAAGATACAAATATAAGAGTAGTTAACAAAAAACCTAGATATGAGGAGCAAAGAAAATCCGAAACTATAGGTAGACATAGAATATGCAACACCACAATCCAGTTAAGGCCAGACAGAATAGTTAAAATCAGCATAAGAGACATGGTTTCTAAGAATAAATCAAGCATTGAATGGATAATAGATAGAGTGAATTACATTTTCATGTTTACCTTTCATAGACGAGTTAATCTGTAGAACTTCTCCAACTGTTGGTGTCTTTGCATCTCCATCTCATCAATAATCACCACATCTGAATGCTCATACCCACTCGTATTGAATTGCTTTATCACAGTCTGAAACAAAAAAATATCTAGAACATTAACTAACAAATAGGTAGCCATCCACATTTTAGAAGAAGATAAGTGACATCAAGAATTAAAGAGAAGCTCTGTGTAGGGATCATTCGTCATTCATGAATACTTCACATGTAATTATATATTTAACCTTTTATGTCAAAAACATGAATAATTATATAATATGAGGTAGTTTATTGACTGGTTATGGTCGTAAATCATAATCGTTGTTTCTATTTTAAGAGGCTTGGGAGAAGGTTTTGAAGAAGAAAGAAACCCTGTAGATCATAGATAATGTGCAAAAGCAATAAAATTCCCAAACATCGACTACTTGGTTGGAATAAGTTGGTAAATACAAACAAACAATTCATCGGTCTGATTAGAGCAAGAAGAAAGAGATAGCTCGAGATATCCACTACATCGAGTACTAAAACCAGTAAAACAATCATCATCTGAGCATACAAATACATATAAATTTACATGTAAAACCAATTAAACTTACACAAATTCGATTAAAAACACTCAAAACTTACTGAGATTATAGATTCATGGATTTGATTAGATGAAGAAGTAGGTTGAAGGTGCTGAAGCAAAATCCTCTGTCTGTTAATGGCTTTATCCATCTCTCTCCCTCTCGCTGATCGATGCTATATTTTCTAGAATTGATCTCTATTATGTGATATAGCAAATCGCACACGACGTGTATGTGTATATATAATGGGGGATTTGGGGTTAGGGCCTTAGGTCTGGTGTGGGGCAGGGCGGGTCAGCGGGTGTGAAATCAACTTAGAATTTTCGTTACAGTTTCAGTGGAGGGAAGACCAAAACACGAAGGGCTTCGTGCCTGTAAAAGCTATTCAGAGGAACGATGCAAACACGAAGGGCTTTAAGGATCTGTAACGGATCCATCAACCGAAAATAGGGGGTTTGGTTGCACGACTGCTGCAGACGAGGCGGAGGCTCTAGCGGCTGGTGGCGGAGTGATGAATGATCTTCTTCTAGACGCGTAGGGTTAATAAGGGATGAACAATCGGTGATTTAAAATTGATTTTTTAATTAAAGGGGTTATCAATTCATTTAACAATTACCAAAAATAATTATTGCTAACATTACCAAATTACCCTTTTGGAATGATTGGCTCACAATCATTCTTACATCCACACAATACTTATTTAAAATACTTGAACCTATCTCTCTCTCTCTCTCTATATATATAGATATATATATATATATATATATATATATATATATATATATCTATATATATATATATATATATAGATATATATATATATATATATATATATATAGGGTTCGATTCCTGTGAGGACTCATTTTAAAGTGAGGACTCGTGAGGACACCTTAAAAAATTGAAAAAAAATCTAAAAAAAATACAAATTATAAAATCGAGCATAGATCTATGTCCGGGAGAAAAAAAATTCCCTTTTTTGCATCATTAAAATTGATCCATGATTCAGTTTTAATTTTTTATTTTGCATCATTATGATCCATGATTCAATTTTAATAATCCAATTTTTTTTTCCAATTTTCTCTTCTCCCGGATATAGATTTATGCTCGATGTTATGATTTGTACTTTTTTTAGATTTTATTTTCAATTTTTTTAAGGTGTCCTCACCAGTCCTCACTTTAAAATGAGTCCTCACCCAATCCTGTTTCTATATATATATATATATATATATATATATATATATATATATATATATATATATATATATATTATCGGTTTCCATCTATGATACTTTTAGTCTCTAGTAAATTTTAATTTTTATATTTAATATCTTAAAAAATAAAATTCTATAAGATGTGTTTTTTT